CTATTAATATTGTATATGCCGAAAGATTATGTTTCTTGTCATTAACTTTTCTTACGATATTCGCAATGCAGCCTTTACATGTTAATCTTAACATAATTTTTTTAATTATAAAACCAGCTAAATAATACAAAATATTTTCTTTAAGAAAACTATTGTTTACATTAATACGACGGTATAGTTCAACGCTATCATTATCAGTTTCTAAGTTGTCTTCATCAGTAGTCTCCCAAGGAGCATCAGTGAAATCATCATGCCAATTTTTAACATTTTTATTTTTAGCCCATGTTAATTTAAATCTTATATCATTGTCAATATCAAAGCTAGCACAATTTGCTTTCACTGAGGCTGAAATGGAATTTTTTACAAGTAAGGTTTTCATTGCGGATTTAAATTGTATAACGTTTGGGTTATTATTCCAGCCATGTCTTCGTCGCACTTGTGCGAAGAAAAGTTCTATATGATCTTGGCTAAATCTGTAAGTCAGTAAATATTTAAAGAAAGGTTCTAGTAAAATATTTTTCGCTATGTCTAATATAGATTTCACTGCAGAAGCAAAACCCACAATAAAAACTTTTCTTTTCATAATACATAACTGATTGTTGTTAGAGTCCATTAAGGTATACAAATAGTTAATTTTTGCCTCAATCCTTTCCTGAAGATAAGTAATATTATCATAATAAATTGGTTTCTTAAATCCCTTACCAAAAGGATTACAAGAGTTTAAAAAATCAAATATTTCATCGATGACTTTAATAAATTCAATCGTGCCAGTGCAATCTTTAAATTCTTCAACTTCAGAAAATTTTAAAAATTCCAAAGCAGAAGCAGTTGAACAACTTAAAGTTTGTGCAGCCAGTTTTACTTTCATAATATTGTTTTTATATTGTAAATGAGCAGAAGTAAGTTTGTTTGCAAACTTCAAATTTAATTCAAGTTGCAGTTTGTGCAAATTTAATATGTCACTCCATTTTATTTGCGCAGATGGAGATTTTAGAATTTTAAGATCTCCTAATGCATTTCGAGCAAGTTTCACATTATGGCAAGCGTCAGGTACAAAGTAGACATTATAATCGGAACTTGGATGTTTAAATGTTGTTTTTAAATCAGAATAATTTGACGTATACAAATTGCAGCCTAACAAATTCATTGTAGAGTAATTATCATGAGCTCCGTCACATGTTACGCTCCATACTTTGATACCGAATTGCTGTGCCATAATCAATGCCGTTTTTACTAATTCTGCTTGCACTGCAGCATTTATTTTATTAAGGAAAAAATAACCCACGGGCCATTTCCACGTTCCTCTTAGTGAAACCAGCATAAAAAGGATTTCAGTGGCTTCAGTTTCCATAGCTTCAATGTTTACTCCATTGCCATATTCGCAGTATCCTACCAGTTTATGTGATGCGCGATCCCACAACATTTGCTTTCTAATTGCCATAGAATCAAAAACTAAATTACAATGCCGTGAGACTTGAGGGAATTTAGATATCTCTTCAAAGACGTGTGACATGAAACCAGGCTCCGCATTGAAAGATGAAATCCAATTCCTAATGCTACTTTCATGTGGCAAATGTAAAATAGATCTAAAAAAATGTTAAATTATTTGTATAATTTAATATTTTAAAAATACTTAGAACAGATCAATCCATGAAATAATAAACATAAATGTGAAACAAACCATATATAGTCATTACCTGCAGTAGTTATAGGTCTTTGGCGAATAAAAATGCAACGTTACGGCATATTTCTTAATTTCGTCGCTGTATCGACAACCTTTGTTAGTTCTATTCTTATTCAACCATTTTGAAACAGCTCACCAACATTTCCATCAAAATTTTGTGCAATAATTTCACTTGGATCTCGGTCGAGAAGATTTTTCTTTCTATTCATTTATAAATATACAATTCGTGTTTACATCAAAATCAATTATTTCTATTCATCTTTTTGTTTATATCATTTATGTTTATACTGGCTGACTTATTTGGATTTCAGAGAGAGAAAGAGAGAGTATGATTCTTTTTTTTTAAAACATTATCATTCAAGCAATAGAAAAATAAAGTACAAAATGAATACCCTGGTGGAAATTGTGTACTAAAATCTTAATGAAAGTGAATCAATTGATATTCAATAATTTCAATATTTTCATCAATTTTCAATACGAAAAAACTTATTTTAACTTATTTTAATTATCGTTACTTTAATATTAAATTTTAATATATGTCTTCCAACATATTATTAAGATCTAATAAGATGCTATAAGCATCGAAATTTGTTAGATTGATTGTCAATTTAACTAAAGTGATATTACCGTGGTAGTTGTTTACGGTTACGTTGTAAGTCTGAAAAAATTCGGCACGCGATTGGTGAACTACATGCGCGGTATATAATATTCACACTTTAACATATCTTATATATGATCGCACTAACAGCAGCGAATAGCTCTCATTACATGTCATAAAATTACATGTCATACCGTAAATCTGCCAGTAAACACTGCAACGATTGTATCTTTTTTTCTTTTCTTGTCAATTTTTGTTTTAATGTTTGAATAATTCTTTTCATTTGCTTCTTTCTAGGACTCATTTCCTGATTTTTTAAATGATAGTAGGAATTATTCATTAATTTCCGTTTCTTTACCAATGACATCTTAATTGTATTGTCGATAGGACTTATGCTAGCTGTGTTTTCTGAAAGTAGGCTGGAGACTGTAAAATTATTTTCGTTTTCTTTTTGTTCTGAACTCTTGAAACTCGTGACTTCTGAAGTCACAGTTTGTGAATGTATGGCCAAATCAAGTACATTTTCAGATGTAGAAGCAGTCGCTGGAGCAAGTGTACTTGCAATCACAGGAGCAGTCACTGGAGTCTTTAAAAATATGGAAGGTACGGTAAGATTTTTCAAACAAATACTGCTTGTACTAAGTCTGTCTATATGTGAATGTATGACCGAAGCAAGTGCATTTTCAAATGTAGGAGCAGTCGTTGGAGCAAGTGTACTTACAATCATAGGAGCAGTCACTGAAGCCTTTAAAAATATGGAAGGTACGGCAAGATTTTTTAAACGAATACTGCTTGTACCCGGTCTGTCCATAAAATCATCAGGTGTAAAATGCTTGCTGCAAATGACATAATTTTTAGATGGCTTGAACTCTTTTTCTCCAATTGCCTTGGTCCATTTTTTTAAATGATCTTTTCGATTTAGAGGAAATCTGAAACATATATTCTTTGCAGTTTAGACATAACCTTCAAATAATAAAGTTTCACGTTTACCAAATATATATTTAACTTACCTGAACAAATGAAATCCCTTTTTATTATTATTTTGACAATTTTTAGTACAACAAGTGCTCGGCATTGTATTTTTCTTTACTTAAGAATGCGTTTTTTTAAACAAATACTACTATATACCGGTAAGGCGGCAACGAAAACACACCGACAATGGAATCGCGCAATAGTATTAGTCAAGAAGACTAGAACCAGGAGAGTAAACTAACGTGGTGGGGGTAGGTCAAAAAACGTCCGCGGTTATTCATACAATGCGCAGTGGCATTGCACATTATATGAAAGTTTGCGCATGCGCGCATCGGTTATAACCAAGAAGTTCTTGTTCTTATAACCTTTGTTTTCCCTTCATCCGAGGGACACACTTAAAAAAAAATCTTCTTAAACCATCTTAAACAGAATGTAAGTTGTAAAAAGGGTAATTATACAGAATCACTCGAGCACCTTAAAAATCGATCAAATTAGGCTTATTCGACGCGTTTTTGCATGAAACGAAAGAATCTGGCAGAAATAAGCGTCGCTCTGCCCTACGAACCGAGATATTTAATGTTAAAGTTGACGACTATTCAGGTTAGGAAATCTGTCTTACCGACTATATGTAGTGCTACGAGTATGCTTTCTTCATGCTCTCTGACCTCGTGCACAAGGGGCGCACAACTTCTACGAGTGTAACTGTCGGGGCAGACCTCTGACGACGGTGTGGGTGCGGGGGGGTGGCCGGAGGCCGAAGGCCGTAGGCC